GTCACGGACCTTTGTTTGTTTGTGTTCCCATTTTGGAAAGTTGTGTTTGGCGTGGCCAAGTACACACGTTGTAGTTCTGGAGCTCACGGGCCTTTGTTTGTTTTTTTTCCCATTTTGGAAAGGTGCGTTTGGCTTGTGTCATGGCTTTACACTGGCACAATGCCAGTGCCCCTGTGAAAATACCCTCTCCTTGGTGTCTGCTCTGAGATGTGACCTGGAATAAGCAAAGCAGGCTCCTACTTAGAAATAAAGAAAATTTTATTAACTAAGCTACGAGAAAATAACTAAACTACAAGGAAAGAAAAACAACACACACAAGGAAAATGAAAACCTTACCAAAAATATTCCTCCTCCCCCCACCAAATTCCAATACAATACATCTCCCAAATCTCCAACTCTTGGTCCAGCACGGCCCTTTAGAATACTCAATCCTCAGTTCATCAAGAGGAGAAGGAGTCCTTCTTTGTGCCATGGGCTTCTTGTCACATATGGAACCACCCAGAAATCATTTGCCATCATGACATCTTCCTTCCATGCCCAATGCTCTCACCACTGCGCATGGACCAGGGCAGCTTCCAGGGTTTCCTCTTTTAAGGATGCCTCATCCCACTCAAAAAAAAGGCACAGTCTCAACTTTGGAACATCTGTCCCCCCCATATTTTTTGCACCCCGTGGGGCCAAGGGGTACGCACACTGAACCCTCGTGGGTCTGGGACATTGCCCCCCTGGATCCAGTCTCTGTATCACAACGAAACATTGCTCTGTCCATAGCTACACAAAAAAGAGTCCAGCAAAAATGCCACTCCGTCTTCTCTATTCCTCCAGCATCTCTCTCTCTGGCCCAGACCTTCATCACTTGCCCATTTCCTTCTTCGTCCTCTACTCTTATCTCTCTTCTAGGAAGGGTTAATGTTCTGTAAAGTTTTCAGTGTCCACAAAGGGTTAAAAGCTCCTTCAAATGGCTGGACTCCTCGCTGCCCCCCTTCGCCCAAGGCCAAGCAGTGCGGGCAGCACATGATATCAGGTTTCAAGATAACAGTCCCCAGCACAGCTCTCTCCTCTCTCTCTCTCTCTTTCCGAGGTGGGGGGTGGTAATGGTCTGCCTGGTGCCTCCCGGTACTTCTTTCTTCCCCCCATGGGCCCCTCAGGGTCAGGCCTACCTCTCCCGGGCCGTGTGGCTTTCCCCTCCCCCACTGGGCAGGGGAGGTCTGACCTGCTCCCTCTGCCAGAAATCCAAAAAATAAACTTCCAGGGGCGCAGCTCTGCTTTTAACCCCTGTGTGTTCTCAGTGGCATGTCCAAATCTCAGGGGCCAAACCAGGTGCCAATATTAAAATCTGAGCACTCATTGGCGACCACAGCACATCCCAGAAAACCTACTTCCGGTCAATGTCAAACCACCACAGCTTGTGAGACTGGTCGGCAGTTTTCTCAAGTTCTTCTTCTGTTCTACTAAGTCATTTTGCCCAGCTTTCTTTTGGGTTTTGAGATGGTTATGTTGTCCATGAAGCTGTGGGGGGCCATTCTTATCCTGTGTGGCCAAAGAAAGAAAGTGAGTAGTTATGAAGCCTCCAAGTGAGGCAGAAAAGCATCAACAGGCAAGTTTGTGTTTATGCATTTAGTGATGAAGTCTGAAGCTTTGGCAAGTGCCTTTGAGCCTGGAATGCAGGCGAAGCTGCAAGTCTTTTACTGCTGTCATGTCTTGCTCAGAACAAGAAGAACATCTTGAAATGGTGGATGCTGTATTGGAAGTCAAATGGGCAACTCTGTGGCTGGGAAAGTATGTGGGTCAAAAGGCCCCAGGGGTGTGGTAGAAGATCAGCTGAATAAGAGCCAGCCTGGGACCAGGTGTCCAAGAAGGCCAATGGCATGGTGGCCTGTGTCAGCAGCAGTGGGGAAGCAGGAGCAGGGCAGTGAGCGTGGCCCTGTGCTGGGCAGTGCTGCGGCCACAGCTGGAGTGCTGTGTGCACTTGTGGGCCCTGGGAAGCAGAAAGTCATGGAGTGGCTGCAGTGTGTGCAGAGAAGGACAGGGGAGCTGGGCAAGGGGGTGCAGCACAAGCCCAGGGAGGAGGTGCTGAGGGAGCTTTAGTCTGGACAATGGGGGACATAGGAGGGACCTTCAGGCAGACTTCCATCAATCCCTACACAACAGTGCTCAGCACAAGGGTCATTTCCCCACTAAATTTCCCCTCAATGAATCCAAGTGCAATAGGCACTGGAATGGGTGACACTGCCATCTTGTAGCTGGCTGGCTCGCTGGCTTGGTGGCTTGTTGGTTTGCTAGGAGTGGTTTGCAATGTTCATTTTCTCCTTTTCCAGCAAGCTAAGATGCACTACGTTTTTTGCACTTTTTCAGCCCTGGATGGGATTCTGATCTAATTTTAGTTTTTCATGTCTGCAGCAGCAGTAGGAAAGCCATTGTTGCTTCCCTACTTTTCCATTTCAGAGCTTTCAAGAGCTAAGAGCTCCATTTTACAGAGACAACCTTGCTTGCTGATAGCAATCAGGGAGCAATAGCAACCTTATATACATCCACAGTTCTTTTTAGGTAGCCAATATTTTTTTAGTCTGTAGGACTTAGAACGGCTATGTCGCAACGAAATGTTTTGATTTCTCCTTAGAAGACGTAGTGGAAGATCTGAAAAGAAATGAGTTCTAAATGAAAGGTCATGGCCTGTGCCTCATGCTTCTCTCTTGCCACAGCTGACAGAACCAATAGCTGTCTCTCCCCTGGTTCTCACTGCTCCTGGAGAAGAAGCCCAAGAAGAGCAAATTGAGGTGGATGAATGCCAGATTCCATCAGTGGTCACACCAGAGTCGGAATATTCCGAGTCCATAAGTGCCATTTGGGGGTGGTGCTGTCTTTAGAGCAAGGCAGAGGTGCAAGTTTTGAAGCAGCCAGTGCTTCCTGTTGCTGGCTGAGGATGCTGAGTGCTGGAGTGCTGCCAGGAGCTAGAGACTTCCTGCAGGCAGCATCAGCAGAACTTGGCCTTTGACCTGTGATGTTGAGGCCCCAAAGGGCTGGTGCCTGTGGGAGAGCATCTGGCTCCTTGGCTCAGGGAAGCTCTGTCTCTGGGCTTCAGCAGTGCTGTGGCCGGGGGCATGCGTGGTAGTGCTGGAGGTCACAGGGCTTTGTTTGTTTTCCCTTGTTGTAAAGCTGTGTTTAGCTTGTGAGACAGCTCTGTGGTTTTCTTGAATTCTTCTTTAGTTCTACAAAGTCTTTTTTCCCAGCTGTCTCTTGGCTTTTGATAAGGCTCATGGTGGTGATTGTGCTGATTTTCCTACATCTTTCCTCCCTGTTTCCAGCACCATGAGAAATTCTGATTGAATTTTATTTTGCACATTCGTAGTTCTTGAAGATGCAATATATATTTGCATTAGAACTCATAGTTTGGGGTGTGCGTCTTGGTGCAGAAGGAACTTTTCTTCTGGCAGACTAGTTAATTATGCCTTGCAATTCCCATTCAGGCTAATACTACCTCTGTCTTTTTGCAGCCAAGAAATCCGTTTTTGTTGTGTTTGGAATTTGGGGAGGAAATCAATGCCCTTGCATTCTAGCTGGTACTCAAAGATCTGATTACTTAGAAGGGGCTGGGTGATGGAAGTGAAGGGAGACAAGCACATCCTAATGATGATCATTGGTCTCAAATTTATTGATCCAGCTTACATACTTTTATAGTAGTGTTAATTAAGCTCATACATATTGCAAAAGCTAAGCTCATCATTGGTTACAGATTACATGTCAACCCCTCCTTTGTGGCAACATTCTCAAAACACTTGTGGTTTTCTTGTTGAGGCTAATACTTGTTTTTACATCCTGCTGTTGACTACAGTTATCCATTCAAGGGCACCGTGTTTTTCTTGTTATTTGCTCAAGGATGCAGTGTTGTTGTTTTTCTCGTAAGGAAAAGGCTGAGAACTTACTGCTTACAGCTGCTTTTTACTGCTTAACCAGCTGTATATGATCATGGCCTTTTCCTCAAGCCACGTCTGCACAAAACTCTCCAACAGCTGGGCTGCATTTCTGATTCCAGCCACTTTAGCACCATCAGTGTGGTTGAGTCCAGGAGAAGAACTTGCTCAAGCACAGATGCACAAAGAGTGCAGTTCCCGTGCAATGCTCTGAGCCTGATCCCTTTCCAAAAGGACCTACATGCTCCAGATTCCCCAAGAGTGTGCTTTATTGAAGCAACAGAAGAGCAATCTCAGGATTGCTGCTGAGTGGGGCACTGCTACCGAGTGTTGATGTGTGTAGCAACAGAGAGGACAGTAAACAGGGATGATAGTGGTGATATCCATCAGTCTGTCTGTCTATCTATCTATCTACACTATGTAATATTTGCATAATTGAATATTCCCGACTCTGGTCCAAGGCAGTTGGAGGTGCAAAGGTCACCTAAAGCATCCCTTTCAAGAGAGGATTAGAGACATGTTCCCTCGACCAATTCAGAGCAGGCAGAGATGTCTCCCCCTTCAGATATTGTGGTTTTTTCCCCTCAGAGCTGTTTTTCTCCTCCAGCGTCTTCTTCCCTGAAGCCCCCAGTTAATTCTTTACATTTCTGCCTGTCCTAGAGTGGTGAAGTATTCCATGTTTTAGGTGGTGAAGTGAACATGAACTCCAGAAGTGTCTCACAAGGGCTGAGCTCACCCAGGAAGCACCTGCAGAGCCAGGATGGAGCTGTGAGACAGGGCGGGCTGTCAGTCACTACTGAAAGACAAACAGAACATGGTAGAAGCAGAGGGAGGCCCTCACCAGACCCTTGAGAAACGCCTCAACTTCCCTGTCAGCTGCCTGAGAGGCTGTTGGAGCTTCAGCCCCAGATGGCCCCTGATTCTCGGGCCAGGGTCACTTTGGAATCTGTGCCTCCCCTCAAACAGAGAATGACCCAGCAGAGCAGCAGCACAGTGCTTTGGGAATGTGTGAGCACAGCAGTCTTTGAGTCTTGGCCCACAAAGTTTGTATGGGAAGTTGAAACCCATCTTCTCTTGCTTTCTGTGCAGGTGCTTCTAGAGAGAGAGCAGGAGCAGATTGCTTCAACAGAGATGCCATGGCAGACTCAGGGTGAGCTGTTCCCAGCCCGAGAGCAGGAAGAGCAGCTCAGGCAGCAGGTGGAAGAGCCACAGGAGAATGGCCAGGTAAGCCTGACTGGCCAGGGCACAGCGGGAAGGGCAGAAGAGGGGCATAAACCAGAGCTCTTGAGACTGAGGAGGCCAGGAATCCCACAGGCACTGGAAGCACAGAGCCTTGGAATCTGCAGAGATTAGCCCTGGGACAGGAGGTTTGCAATGGAAGCAGAGGTGGGTAGGGAAGCAGAAAGAAGTGGCTGAATAAATGTGATTTTGAGGCTGCAAGAGGAAAAAACTGAGGCTGATGGCAGCTGCCAGTCACTTACTCTGCATTTGTGTGTACAGAAGATCAAGGCAGAGCCACAAGCAGAGCTACCCGAAGCACAGAGTGACATCATGGACGTGAAAAGAAAGAACAAGGAAGATCTGGGGAGAATTCAAGAGGAGAATCTTGATCAGCAGAGGGGCGATCAACAAAACCAGGTGAGTGAAAGAGTGGTGGACACCCCACCCATGAAACATCCTCTCTCTTGTTTTTTAGAGAAGATGAAGTCACAACTGATCGCAGAGCTTCAGACAGCTCAAACTCAGATGAAGGCAAGGCAGAAGAAGCTGGAGGATGAAATAAAAATCATCAGAGAGAAACTTAATCCCCTCCCTCAGTCTCTACAAAAGCAAGTGAGTGAAAGAGGGATGCAGTCACTGCAGTCCCCAAACTGGTGGTTTCTGCCCTTCTTGCCTTTCCACTCAGAGCAGCGGGGAGTGGGATGATGCCTCTGAGTGCCATCCTGCTGAAGTGTGTATCACAGTCACTCTTAAGGACTTTTCCTGGTGTGCTCAATTTCTTCTGCTGTCCTGGATAGAGGGACTTGTCCTTTGGCCTTTTGGCCAGCAGTCATCCAAATTGATTCCTGCTGGCCTGTTCCTGCTGTCTTGGTTTCTTGATGTATTTTTACAGTGGAACATGGTGACCCAGATGGAGGATTGAAACAAGCTGTCTGTATCCCTTGTCAATCTGTTCTTTCCCTTTCCTCACAGTCGATGACTCCTGGCTGACAGGGACAAGCTGGAGTCTCTGACTGCTTTGTTCTGTTTCATTTGAGGAGCGAGTGTTGGCATCTCACCGGGCAGCCTGTGAAGATTACCAGCAAATCTCTGGCTCTGAAGGGCCCCAAGTTAGGAGTGAGGCACAGGTACCATCCCCACCAGAAGTGCTACAGGTTGAGCATGACCTGAAGATGGTACAGGAAAAGAGAACGCAGTGGGAGGAGGCAGAACACTTGAACAAGGAACTGAAAGTGTGTCTGCAGCTCTTGGAGGGGGAAAGGAATCCTTGAGAGGAAGTAGAATGGTGATTGTGGCAGTCATCCTTTGGAAAATCCATGAAAATGGAACATGAATCTGGCCATGAACTTGAGTAAAACTAGCCTTTGGTTTTGATCCATCCAGTTTGAGAAGTGGACATCAGAAAAAAGCCATTTAAAAGCCCTGCATGTGGCTGACAGCACATTTCTAAGGGCTTGCATTTCAAAAAGGGATCTCAGGGTAATTTCTGCCAGCCACTTTTTTGATATCAACTCATTTCTTGTCCCAGATCTACACAAGCTCTTTCACTAAACCTGCTGCAGCAGCAGCAGCATCGTTTAAAGGAGCCTTTTCTCCCCGACCTGCGAAGTGGAGCCAGGGCAGTTTGTTCACCTCCCACGCTGACCCAGCTGCTGCTCAGCAACAGGAGGTCGAGGGTGACTCTCTGGAGCTACTGAGTACGTCTGCTGTATTTCTTGTCTGAGGGACAGTGCATTGTGTGCAGGTGTCAGCATGGCCGTACCAAATGTTTCTCCTGAGTTTGGTGTCACGGGCACATTTATGAGTCCCCACAGGAACTGCTGTAGAAAATCAGTCTCTGTGCTGGCCACCTGTGCTGCAGAGCTGTCTGCCTGGTTGTTGTTGTTACCCAGCTGAGCATAAAGGGCTCAGAGCTCCAGGCACTGGGGCTGCCTTTTGTATCTCCTGGAAGCTGAGGTCTCTGCTTTAATGTCAGCATCTTGTATTTTGTTTCCCTCAGGGAAAATAGTAAACAAGGAAAATCCCTGGATGAAATACACCAGACTGGAATATATTGGCAGCGGGTGAGTCCAACCACAGTTACTTCTACATAACCATGGGCCAGGTGTTTTTGTGGTGGAATGTCTATCCACCATGAAGTCAGGCAAGCTGCAAACAGACATCTATCCCCATGTTCCCACACTGGAGATAGACTGTCCCATGTCTCAGTGCTGCTCAGAATTTGTGTATTTGCTGCTCAGAAGGCACTGTCAGAGACACCTCCATGCTGCTGAGGTCTTGCCTGCAGCAAGGAACAGGACCTGGAAAACCTCATCTCTCAAGTGTGAGACACTTCTGTGTTAATTTCCTTAGCATTTTTTTGTATCTCTAAATCATACTGCCACACTAATAAAGAGGGAAGAAACTTGCTTGCCTGAAAGAGAAACCTCCTCCCTGATATCTGTCAGATAACAGTTTTCAGGAACATTTTTTCCAAGAGTTTGTTGAAGGAAATACTCTGTGGTCAGGATAAAAACTGGACAGTTTAGGAAGTGAAACCTGAGGTGGAAGAAGTAGCTCTATTTTTGAGCTGAGGCAGTAAACCCAAGCAGTTCAGGAACAGGCCTAGTGCCCATGCACTTGAGAGGAAAATCCATCATCTGCCTTCTGGCAGCGCTCTCCTGCATCCTGCAGGTTTTTGACACTGCCAGCACAGATCTCCTGTGTGGGCTGGCTTTCAGTGCAAGATCTAAATGGCTTCTACTTTCCTTGCTGCTTTTTTGTTTGTAGGACTTTTGGGGATGTGTGCAGAGCAATTGACAGTGCCACAGGAGGAGAGGTAAATGTCAACAGGCCCCGCAGACTCTGCTGCTCTTGAGGGGCTTTCCCCTCTGGTGTGAGCTTTGGCTGGAGCTTTGGGTAGAGCTGTGCTTGAAAAGGCACAAGAAGCACAGACTGGTGCCAGCCTGCAAAATACATCTGGCACAATCTTTGTCCTCCTCAGCTGCCGGAAGGAAGGCACGCAGGGCAGCGCTTCCTTTTAGACAAGGACGCACTCACTCCCTCTCCATTGCTAAAACAAAGGTGGTGCCTTAGAGCACCTCACTGCTCTTTGGGACTACAGCTTCAGAGTCCTGAATTCTCATTTCTGGCTGCCAGCAAATCCATCTGAAAGTTACTGGTAGTTCCTTAGCCACCTGCAGTGCTGCACTTGGCAACTGCACATAGGGAGAGATCTGCAAGGTGCCCTAAAAGCCCTAAGCCCTGCCCATAGCCCAAGATGTAACCACAGAGTATTAAGGCATGGATTACCTCTTCTGAATCCCAAACAAACCAGCAGGGATTGTGGTCAGAGGTTTGGGGGTGATAGTTTAGACACCACTGTTACCAAATGGACAAGGCAAAACGTCAGTGGCTGCAGGTGACCCATAACTGTCCCCCAAGGGAACAGAAAAATGGGCTGTTGGAATGTCAGTTCCGAATTACTGCAGTGCCTAATCACAAGGCAGTTTGGCACAGCTCAGCTGTGTCATTGTAAAATCACTCGCTCCATTGCATCGTGGTCTCATGCCACCGACTGCTCAAGTTACTGATTTTCAATGTCATTTTAGGTGGCCATAAAGAAAATAAATCTAAAAGGACTGAGGAAGAAGAAATTAAAAGTCAATGAACTCATGGTCATGAAAATTAATAGGAATCCCAACCTGATCAACTATTTAGACTGGTGAGTTTTTGTGAATGTTTCTTTACATATAGCAAACATGCAAGGTAAAATCCCACTTTGGTCAGTGGCAGAAAAGAGAGCTGTAATTATTGGCCAATTATTATTGCTCTGCTCATCTCTAATGGATGGGAAGGGAGTGCATCTTGTCTGCATGAGTCTTCTCTGGCATACATAGTTAGAAAATTACTCAAAAACCAGGATCAGTCATATCTTACTAAATCAATAGCCTGTAAGTTCACAGCCACCACTTTGTTTTGGGGCTTGATTTTTATCAAGTGTCTTTTTCCATCCAGATAGACTAACATAAATTTCCCTTGGATTGTGTCCCCTCTTTTCCATTGCTTTGCATGCCAGGAAGACTAGGTGCTTATTTCCAGAAACACATAGTGTGACAGGTTTTTTTATCTGTTACTAAACTGCATTTTTCACTTGCTGGCCATTTAAGACATCTCCTTTTTCACAGCTATGCCTTTCTTCTTGAGACTGCACAGATTGCAAGCCATGCACAGCTGAGAGGGAATGTCTATTCCTTTGAGTCTGTCGTAGTCACAAAGGAACCTGAAACAAGAATCAATCAAGAACACAACCTAGTCATGCATGTTGATCTCCACACCCTTGTTTCCTTCTTTCAGCTACCTTGTGGGTGATGAACTTTGGCTAGTAATGGAGTTCATGGATGGAGGCACTCTGAGCGACATCATCAGCAAGACTTGCCTGTCTGAAGACCAGATGGCAGCCATCAGTCGGGAGGTCAGCAATCCCATCTGTGTTTCTGAGGGCTTGGGCAGGATTGTCTGGGAAACAGGGGCTCAGAACAGGAGAGGTTTCATGTGCCAAGCTTTGTTTCTGTGTTGCTGGTATGCTATGGGCAAGTAAAAGCACTTCAAATAAAAGACCTGCCAGTGCCCCTGCACTCCCTGTACTCAGTGCCAGTACTCTCATGTCCTGCTGTTGTACTCTCGCTCTGCCTCTTGTATTTGCTGTTCTCCACTTTGCCTCTCTAAATGTTTGCCTGGAGTCTGTCTTCACTGCATTCGTTGCCTGTGAAATCAAAGGTGCTGGTGGCGGGATTTGAAACAAGGAGCAAAGAAAAAAGTCCTTTCTCACAGTCCTCATCTAAAAAGGACAGGAGTGCAGCCAAAATGCTCTTTACTTCAGGAAGGTGACTGATGTGATACTTCCAAGTCTGTGCTGAGGCCAGCAATAAAACCTTTGTCATGTACCCTCCCATCCAAAAGTGATCTGCTTCACACCAAAGGGAGGGACTTTTTCTTTCTTGGCAAAACCCTCATTTGTCTTCTGCATGGAGATAGCACATCCACTGCAGCAGCAGTCATCCTGGCTGGTTTGCAGGGGACAGTCTACAACAGCAGGTGCCATTGCTCTTTCAAAAGCTGACGTGCCTTTCCTCAGAAAGGTCCTGCTCTGCAAGTGTTGGAGCAGCAAGCTCTTCCTCTCAGGGGCACTGTGTTCTGCCCTGGAGAGGGAATCTTTTAGATTGTTTCCTTTCTTGTGTGATGAAATCCCATCACTTATTTTTTTCCCCTCTTCTTTCTCTTTTCTCTCTCAGTGCCTGCGAGGACTGGATTTTCTCCACTCAAACCATGTGATCTACCAAGATGTGAAGAGCTGCAACATCCTTCTCAGAACCAATGGTTCTGTCAAGCTGGGTCAGTATATTCTTGGTCTGGTGCAGTGTTCCAGGGATGTGGGTGTAGGGCTGCTTTGAGTGACAGCCAGCTCCCCAAAAATGGTGCTGGTGGCAGCACAGGGACACCCGCTGTGAGCTGAGAGCCCAGTTGCAATGTGCACAGAGGTATGAGAAGGAACCACAAGCAGCCAAGACTGCTCTTGGTCTGTGTGTGTCCCTTCCAGAGGGAGGGAGCTACAATCTAAAGCTTCAGGGGAATAAAGTCCACTGCTGGAGGGAGCGTTAAAAAACCTGGGTTTTTTTGGATGTGGCCAATTTCATACTACCTTGGCTAAAGCCCCAAGGAAACTGAGTGTGGAAAGTTCTCTGGGAGATTCAAGTGCACATTCTTAAACTGAGAATGGGGATTTCTTTTGCTTGGTTTCCTAATTAGAGCTGGCTTTCATAGTTTGTTGTTTTCCCCACAGCTGACTTTGGCCTCTTTGCTCAGCTCACCCCTGAGCAGAGTAGACGGAGCTCCGTGGCCGGCACTTGTGGGTGGCTGGTGCCTGAAGTGGTGACAGGCCAACCACATGGCCCCAAAGTGGACATATGGTCTTTTGGGATCGTGGGCATTGAAATGGTGGAACGAGAAGTTCCTTGCAGGAATGCAACTCCTTTTTTGGTAAGGAGCAAATACACACTGATCCCAGTGTCTTTCTCACCTGTCCGATGTTCTGTGTGCCATTGGACAAAATCCCATTGCCATCTGCTGGTACACTTCCACCAAGTTCCCCTTCTAAAAATGTCCCTGCAGCACATCAGAATCCGCTGTAGATTTGGTTGCATCAGAAGGGAAGTGGCAGTTGAGAAACCTAACCAGTTCAGAAAGTTGCCATTTTGGCCTCCAGCCATGCCTGACATTTCTCATTTGCTTTTTGAACGCTGTTGGAGCTCTGGCTCTGAAGGACAAGAATTTTTCAGTGAAACAGTTGGATGTGTGATAAATATCCTTCGAAATGGAGGCTGAGTCTTCCCAGTTTCAGTTTTACAGAAAAAGAAAAAGTGAAAAAGAAACAACCAGTAAAGCAATGCCCAAGCAGTTCTGCTTTCTTTTCCCTTTTTGAACCACAGCACATCAAATTTCCTCCATATTGTAGCATCTTTTCCAAATCCTGTGGGTCTTTGAAACTTTCAGATTTTCAAGTCATCTGTACATTGTTTAGTCATGTGTGTGGGATGCCTGGATAAGTTTAGGATGTGTTTTTCTCCAACTGCAGTTAGAATTGTACACCAAACCCTTGGCTGTTTCTTGGTACTTTAACAAGTTGATGAGTTTGCAGACAGGTGCCTGGGCTGGGCTCCAACGTGGGCAGTTGTCCCGGTGCTGTGTTTCTTTACCATAGGGGCAGGGCCATCCCTGGCCTGCACAGTTCTAATGACAGTGAGGACTCCAGCTCCCCACCATGGCCAGTGGCTTAGCATAGCTGCAGAGGGACAGGATAAAACTCCCTTTGTGACCTCTGGTGGTGTGGGAAAAGGAAAGAAAGCTGTCCTAATTATTTATACTCAAGCAGAATGTGTTTGTTGTTTTAGGCTTGGAAACTTTCCTTTGGGTTGAAGAGGATAATAACAAAGTCTCTTTGGTCACCATCTATTTCAGTGTCACCAGCACAAAGCTGTTAGCATTGTGACGGGCATTTTTATGGATACCAGGGTGCAGCCTGGGGTCATGGAGATGCTGCCAAACCTCCCATTTCTTACCCGACACTTTCTGCGATGGGCACCCCTTTAATGCATTGACTTGAGCATCCAAATGAGCAGAGAGTGACCATAGGCATGGCACTTCTTCTTCTGATTTGACCATGAAAAGGTTTCCTTTTGCCACATAAAGAAGCCAAAATGTGCAGCTGAGAGACAGAGCTACAGGTGGCTCCTGTGCACCCAAGCAGGCATTTTCATCTCAATATATTTGTGCATGCATCTTAATGTGCCTGTGTTGAATATCAGATTCCAAATGATTGTTTTCTTTTCCTGAGGAATAACTGGTGGATTTCCTTTTTTTCCTTCCACTTAGCAGTGTTTTCTAGAAGAGGAAAAGAAGCTCAATGAGATTTGTTTTATGGCAGTTGCGTTTCAAGGACCAACAAGCACTGCAGAGATGTCTTTCATGTACTAATCCTTGCAAATAGTAGAGTTAGTATAGCAAAGTCCCTATTCCAAAAAGCCTCTCAAGCTGATGTGAATCCTCAGGGAAGGAAACATGCTTTTGTTGATGTAGTTCCAAGTAACTAGGTCAGTCAATGAAATCAGCGGCCAAGGCAACATCTGCAGGATGGTGGAAAAGCTGTGGCTGCACCAGGGTCTGGGTTTTTGATTGGCAAAGGAAAGTAATCTCTGGGTCTCTGCCAGGGCAGGAACTGCCACTGCAGAATGGAGCTTAACCAACGGGATCTGGGAGAGCACCTAGAGATATGAAAGTAGCAGGTGCAGCCTGGTGTTTCCTTTTTCTGTAGGCTCAACTGACAGCCAGGGGAGAGAGACCACAGCTGCGGCAGCCCAACAGATTCTCGTCTTGCCTGTGTGACTTCCTGAGCTGCTGCCTGCAGACAGATGAGCAGAAGCGCTGGTCTGCCAGGGAGCTCCTGAAGGTAAAATGTGAAGGGGCTGCAGGTGAAACAGGGGTCCGAGGGTTGGGCTCTTCCTCCACTCAAGTCCAAGGCATCAGCTGAGCCCCCTTCCTCCTCACCTCCACTCTTGCTGCTCTTCAACTGAAAATGGTGAGGAATCCTAGGCTGGGCTGGGCTGGCAGGGCCCTGTGAAGGTCCTCTGGTCCAAGTATCCTGCAATGAGCAGGGACATCTTTAAAGAGATCAGGTTGCTCAGAGCCCTTTGCCACCTGACCTGGAATGGGGCACGTACAAGCTCTTGGGACAGCCTGTGACAGTGTTGCACTATGCTCTGAGTAAACAAATTCTTCCTTAGACCTACTGAGACTTGATCCCGATTTTGATGAAAAATATTCATCACATTCTATTGTACACTGGAACTGTTAAAAAAGGTGTCCCCACTTTCTTCAAAGCCCCTCTAAAGTCTTGGAAAGTGGCAGCAAAGACTCCCTGGGGCCTGTTCTTCACAAATCTGAATAACTCCACCCCTCTCTGCACTTCCTGAGAGGAGAGGTGCTCTGTTTTCTGACTGTTTCTGTCGCCCTGTTTCGTAATTTGGTGGGATGTTTCATTTTATCTAATAGCAAAAGAACTGAAGTAGAGCAATGCAGGGTACAGAGACATGAAATGGTGGTGCAGGAACCCAAGGAAGCCAGTCCCAGCTGAGCAGTCAGAGATTTCACTGTGGGCAGGAGGGACTCTGGGGGGCTCACTGTGAGCCTCTGAGGGGCCCTGGTTTGTGCCCCCTAGCCCACCCTTAGAGGTTTCTGACACGCAAACAGGGACAGCTGGGAGGGACTTGTCCCAGCCCCATCTGCTGCCTGGCACACTCAAGCAGACGGGAACTGTGCCAGGGTTACTGCCAGGTTGTGTGGCAGAGAGGGAACTGCAGGGCCCAGTGCCACTGGGCTGGCCCTGCTGGGAAGGAAGGTGCCATCCAGCACGCGAGGGGCAGGGCATGGAAAGGTAGACACTGCTCTGTCTCCCTGTGGGAATCAGCACAGTGCCTGTCTTGCAAAGGCAGGGACCTATGTGAGTCCTTGGAGTTTCCTGAAAGGAAGAAATGCCAGGGACAGAAAGCACCATTTCTCGAGCACTGGCAGGGCAAAAATCCCAGCAACATGAAGACATCACAATAAACAGATGAGTGGGATTCTGGGCCTCCTTTGCCTGTGATGGCAAGGTCATGCACATGATGACGGGGGAGGAGATGGTCCCATTGCTCCTCTTTCCCGGTCTTTTTAGGACCCAGAAGAATCCTGATTGATACTCCAAAGCACTGAGCTTGGAAAGTCATGGTTCAATGTTCTTTGTTGTTTTTTTTTCCTGTGGACAGCATCCATTTGTACGTTCAGCCAAGCCAGCATACAGTTTGGCACCACTCATCAACTCAATCAAGATGAAGAAGAAGAAGGAGGATTGGAGAAGAAGAATATAATAATCAAGACGTTATCTCCATTACCAACTTAGAGTAGGATTGCAGAGTAGGACTCTAGAGTAGGATTGTTGAGTAGTTTTGGTTTATAGAGTAGGTTTATAGTATAGGTTTATAGAGTAGGATTATTATTAAATAAAGTTTCTGAAACATCAACTCATTTGGAAGATTCTCCTCCTTTGGACCCCTTCAGACAGCTCAGCATTTTCTTCTGAATTACCAGTTGTATTTTACTGATGCTAAGTCACACTTACGGCTTCTTTGGTGTGGTTCGTAAGCGGAGAAGGTTCTTCTTCATTCATCCTCTCCAGACCACACTGCCTTTGGAATATGGCCCACTGGCTGGTTTTGGCACAGCTGTGGTATTTCTAGTTGAGGCAGAAAAGGTAATGGCATTTGAAGGCAAAACCAAAGGAGGGGTGAGGCAGCCAAGACATCCTGTGTGGATTCAGGACTTCAGTCGTCACTCAAGAGCATTTGGGTTCCTGCCGCTTGGATTTGTATCCCTAAATGCAATGTCTTTGCCTGGAGGAGAGCCTTGCTCAAGTGAAAAAGCAGAAAGATCAGAGAGGGTGCTCGGGAAGGTCTCCTGTGGTGCAGAGCTGTCAGCGCCTGGGAGGTGAGAGCGGGCCCGGCCTTGGCCAGGGTGGAGCCCCAGCAGAGCCCCGGCAGAGGCCAGAGCAGGCTGAGCCCCGGCAGAGGCAGGCTGGAAGGAGGCCCCTGGAGCTGCAAGAGGCAGCAGCCGGGCCCTGGGTGCCTGTTCTTGGCAGCGGGCAAATCCTCTGCTCTCAGAGCCCAGGTGGCAGCTGGCTGCTGCCGAGGGGAAGCACAGCCATGCTGGGCACGGCCCAGCCTGGAGGCATTGGCCGTCTGGAGTGTGCCCAGGAGCAGAGAAAGGCCCAGGGCAGCCGAGGGCCGCTGGGCTGCCTGAGGATTCCTCCTCTTCTGCCGGCTGCCCTGCAACTCCTGGCAAAGGTCAGCAGTGTGTGCAGCACTCTGGGCACCGGGGCAGGGAGCTGGGCTGCTCGGCAGGCTGGAGCACAGGGCAGCCTCCTTCAGGCCCGGCTCTTGTGCCAGGGGAAGCGAGGCCAGCGTGAGGCAGGGACAGCTTGGCAGGGCACATCTGCAGGAGCCAGTGCCTCACGCAGCTCTGGGAGGAAGCGCCTGCAATCCTGCCATTCTGCACTGAGCCAGAGCAAAGGTGTGAGATGCAGAGTGTTTGGCAGAAATATTCAGGCCCACCAGGCCAGCCTGCTTTGTGCTCTCTGGCACATAGCAAGCGATGCGCAATGCAGCTCTGAGCTGCTGGGAGAGAAGGAATCAGGGATGTGCCTGAGGGTTTTGCTTGAGTAGTGAACTGATGTGGAAGGGGGCAGAAGAATTTCAGTTGGCAATTTGTGTTTTCCTCACTAATTTCTGAAAGAAAGTCATAATGTGTTGCACACAGGTAGAGGAATTAGAAAAGAAAGGCCTTATAAATTCAGGCCTTGCTATGGTAAATTCCCAGCTGGCCTTTTACAACTTCTATGTGCAGCCAGCTAACTTCCCATGGGAATAATCCTAAGAATGAATGCAGTTAGCACAACAAGTTATTGTGCTAAGAAAACTGTTTGCATCTGTAATAAACAAGAAATCTGTCCCATGAGGTTCCACGAAAGAAAAATGTAAACACCTGAGTGAGTCTTAAAAAGAGAGAGTCTTAGCATGTACACACCAAAACACCTTCTAAGCAATGAATTGTGTGGCAAGGAAACTACCAGCCAGCTGGAGTTGAACACAAGGTCTGTGAAAACAATATAAAAATTAGTTATGTGAATAAAGAATTGGCTTTTCCTGCATGAAGAAACTGAGTCCCGGCTGCTTTATTGACACAGCTGTTGCAGTGTGAGCCTATTTCCTGTTTTACTTCCCAGTCTCTTCCCAGGTGTGGCAATACCTCTCTCCCTTCCCCCTCCCCCTCACCCCCTTGCTGAGTGAGTTCTGTCAATCAGTCTTAACATTCCAGCAAGGCCATCGTGTGGTTGGTCAAGTTCAAAGGATGCCCCTCAGGCCGGGGGTCATTGGCCTGTCTAAGTGTCCCTTGTTCCCTGAGACCCTCCTCCTCCCACCTGGTTGGTGCTCACCTCTCCCTTCCCCTCCCCCTGTCCCTGGGCCTAAATTGAGCCAGGACCATGTGCTGAGTATTCTGTTGGAGCTGTTACCAAGATTCAGATGTCTGTAACCATGGAATAAAACTCTGGATTAAACCCTCTGCAGAATCCGTCTCCTTTTCCTCTTCACCCTCGCCTGAAGCCTTTCCACCTGAGGTAAACTAAGTTTCTACAAGCCTGGGTTTGTTTCAGTGCCCAGCTGCAACATCCAGCCGGCCAAAAGTGTCTCTGAGATACTCTGAAATACCACAGTTGCTGCCTTTGGCCCAGCAGTAAGGGTCAGACGAGCCCAGGTACAATCTACCTGGTAATATTGGGATCTTATTCCAATACATAGCAATGTGGCTTCACTCAGCAAGAGCACTTTCAGGGTGTATTGATGAAAGGCTTGTGTTAGATTCCCAGAATAGGAAGGAGAGGCGTTAAGTGTAAAAAACGTGGCTCAGTCTTGTGAATTCCTTTAGCTTTAACAGGAGTGCCGAACCCTGTATCCCCCCAATTACTGCAAATTTTCATTATTCAATCCTTTGTTAGGGTTTAATAAACCTTTAAAAAGTTAAAAGCAAGAGTCTTTTCTCAGATGTGTAATGCTGTGGGCCATTTCTTTGGTGTGGTTTCCTTTGCTTGAGTCCCATCTGAGTGCTCAGTTGGGGTCCAGCCTGTAGGTGCTTTGTGCACTCTTGGAGTAACTCTTGGATCCCTTGAACAACAGGATTTGGCCCACAAGGGGAATTTGTGCTGGTTTTTGAGAGAGGAGAACTTCCCAGGCTATTTTCTATTTGCTGTGGGGAAGGTTAGCTATTGCTTGGCATAAATTCACAGACCAACACAGAGCGTTTGCTTTGTCATGTTGGGGCACGGTTGCCACCTCGTCGTAGTGACATCAGAAGGTTGCCTTGGTGCACGCAAGGCCTGAGTGTCAGAGCAGTCCTAGGCCTTGCTCAGTGCAGGAGAATCCTCCTGATTGAAGCATTTTTCAGTGGGTACTTGCACACTGGCAGAAGCCTTGCTTTTTCTGATGTTGAAGCACAGCCTGCGAACTTGCAGAGCAGTGCTACAATGATTCACCATCTCACTCCTGTGCTTTTTACTGCATATGGTGTTTCCTTTTCCATCTATATGTGACTCACTTTGCACATAAGTAGAGGTTGTCCCTGGGTGTATCCTAACCTGGCTTTTGTATGTCTTCCTGCTCTTTCTCAGCAACTGAGATTCTGATTTTGAAACAGAGAGAACACTAGGAGGCCACTGGTTTGGTGAAGCTCCTGGTCAAGGCGTTCAGCTAAAAATGGGATGTCTGTAGCCACATGGGCAGCATTTGCAAGGGAACCTGCAGGGCTTCTGTTCCCTCCACAGGAGAGTCTGTAGCAACAGAGTCTGTCATTTCCTCAGTTTGCTGGGACAAGCAAGACAGCTTGAAAATGTAGTCTAGGAGACCTTCTTGGAAGATCTTCCAAAAACTCTGCAGTTGTTCCCAGAATTCAGGGAAAGCTTCTTTCTCTCTAAATTTTCCCCTGAAAGGGGATTTGACTGTCTAACTTGACCGTTTACTGAGTGCTAAAATCATGATCTTCCCTTTGCAAGGAAGTGCAAACTCCAAAGCAGTGAGTGTCTGCTGCAGAACCCTGGAGCTGCTGCTCTGCTGTTTCACATAAGAACTGCCACAGCTCAGGGGGATTTTGGGAAAGCTTTTTTAGGCAACTGTTTCCAGAAAGTTAACGAGAATTAGTGCATGCAACTGATTTAAAAAAAACAAAGCACCTGAGGAAGAGGATAAAAAAAGCTGCTTGATGTGTTTGGTGGAACAGGAGCACCGAGTGTTACAGATGAATCTGCATTTTTTGGTTTTGTTTGTATTCATTTACTGGCAAAACAGGCCAAAGCGTAGGCACAAGCAAGAATATTGTCCTGATCTCCTGCTGGCTGTGTGAATGAAACGTGTCTCCTAGACAGAAGTTATGAAAAGGGAAATTATCTCTGTTTAGGTTGACTTGTTCTGTGGGATTCAGCAGCCCAGGCAGTTTTCTCACAGCATCTGGTTAATTTCCCCTGCTGGAGGGGGAGGGGGACAAAGATTATGACGCTGAGATACCCTGGGATGGAGCAGTCAATCAAATGTAAACTGTAATGTTTGTGATAGAAAGTTCTTTGCTTTAAACTTTTCCATTGCATCACCCCTGTACCCCCGTCCGAGTGGTCAAAGAGCACCGCTGAGCCCGCCCAGTCTGTTTCCCTTCTTACACCTAAGTCCCGCCCTGGTTTGGGGCTCGTCACCCCGGCTCTGGCACCCTTCATCAGAGCTGCACCCCACTTTCCTTCCCCGTCGGTACCCTCAGATTCCCTGAAAATAAAGCCTGGTGGAATTTCGCCGGAGTCTCCCGAGACCTCTCTGTTTGGCTGTGACTTCTTAAACATCCAGGCCTGTGAGTGCGTGTGACCCGGCTGCATCCCTCTGTGGCTGCACATGCCGAGGAGTGGGCCTGCTGGTACCCACCCAGTTTGGGGGCCCCTGGAAGCTAGCCGGACCCCAGAAAATCCACACCCTGCTCAATACAGGTCACCTGAAGTGTGTATTCAGCGGTGCTGATCCTGAGGTGAGTGAGAAGGGGAGATTGCATGTTCCTGGTGTTTAAGAATTGTAGAGCCAGCTGTCAGCTTGGCAAACGGCAGTAGAGTGAAGACAGCCAGCTAGGGAGGCTGAAAGAAAATCCATTTTCATGCTTTCAACACAAACAACAAAGGCATAAGTGGATAGTTCCTAATTTCCATCTCAGAGCCCTGAAGAACTACACACTCAGTTATGCAGAGACAATGTTGCTTGCTGACAGCAGCCAGAGGGGAACACTGAACTAA